TGCTCCAATTCCTGTTTTTTCATGAGCGCGGACCATACAGAGAAGGGGAACCGAACTCCTGACGACTTAACAGACTCCATCCAGTACCATTCTGTCATGCAAACACTCCAAATTCAAAAATCTACAGCCTCCCTGTTGTCGGGGGAAATACAACTGTGGAAAGGACAATTTGAGATGCAAACCTTTATAGAAATGCATCATTTTTCAAGTCTTTACTTCGAGTTGATACAGCTATTATAGGATCCATTTCATTACTCCAAACGAGTAGAGTAAGATTGGAACGGCAAGCATATCCATAGCAAACACTTTGTTCATTCCTGATAGTTCCAATGACCAGATCTGTCGGAGTTTGTGCTGATACTTGCTGCGGAGAGAGTTCTTACCTACTTTACCTCTTGTGAGTGGCGTTGTTCCACCCCGAGGTAAGTACACGTCTTTCCGGCATCCAGATGGTACAGGATGGTTCCATCTACGAGCTGCACATCATCTCCGTAGTCTCTGCATCGTAATCTTCTGAGATGGACCGTTGAACATTTGTCTATCCCGAATTTCATACTAATAGCATCATTATTATCATCATTATTAGTCCAATAGTTTAACAACTTGCTGGTGAATTTTGGTTTTCTCTGTAGTAAAATACTAGATAAAATTTAAAATGATTTGGAATAACGAACAAATACTCAAAACGTGAAAATTTCAGCATATTCTAATCACACAAAACCTACAACTTTCAATACTGTCATCACCCACTTGCTTTGAAATATTCTGATAGACCTGTTGCATATATACATATTTTGAGAGGTATGTAGAATGAGGGATCTTAGTCTATCGAAGTTGTATGGCTTAGAAAAAATGCAAGGACCCGTCGATTTTTAATTGAAGGGAAGTAATATTTTCCGATATATTTGTCTCCACCAGTTTCACCTCTTAGCGAGTGTGATAATCACCCCAAGACATTGCATGGCTTTGATTTCTTTCCATAGAATGCCTGCAAAGTGAAATCTATAGAACACAATCATAATCTTGGAAATATTTGCACAAAAAAATGTCAACGAGAGCCGTAGAATTCAATTCAATACAGTTTAATGTCCCAAGAAACAATAAATGCTTATAATTAAGGACTATAACTAACTACAACATATAATGATATAACAGAAATGAGATATTTTATAAAAACACACAACGCATTTTTTTTAAATAACAATGAAATGCAGTCAGATAATAAAATTGGTTACAGAAAGTATATGTCGAAAACGAATTCAAGTGCAAATAGAAGTAACATGACTCGATTTTTTTTATCTGTGAGAACAGAAAAATTCCTTTTTTTTTCAAAACTATTAGCAGAATTTAAAAATTTACTATTTATTAAAAATGAATACTTGTCACCTTGTTATTCTTTTGGTGATTTGTCTCCCTTGCTAGGGGATGGAAGCTGGGAAAGTCTACAGTATCGTTTAGTAGTTTGTTTTTTTTTTGTTTCACCATCATCGACATTGTTATATGTCTACTATATTGAAAATATGACCAAATTTGCTTCGACAGAGAATATCAAGATCTTATTTAAAAGAAATTTTGCAGTATGTAAGGACATAATTTAGTATTTTGAAAAATTTAAAGCTTTTTTCATAAAAGCTAATCTCTTCTGAAAATATGACCCTTTCAATTGAATAATAATAATTAATAGAGTAGATGTGATCAATGAAATTTGGAAGTTCCAAAAAGTACATTTCGAAAATACTTTTAGAGAGATTTCAATTATCAATGATATCAATTAAGTGCCAAACATAATTTTTTGTATTCAAACATGTAAAGTGAGACTTAAAGTTTCAATTTTTGAAATCTTTTTCATTCCTCATCAATTTTTGTATCGTTGAGGCAAATGTTTTTTTTTAAATTATTGTGACAGTATCTGAATCAAACGTTTTATAAATATGTTCATATGTCGAAGAGAAATAATTTCTTGCAAGAAAAGCTGTATTGTCAGGTCATACTTAGTTTAACTCTAAACTTGTAAACGTCACCATAGAGTCCCTCAAATAGAATGATGAGGAGGAGCAAAATAAATATTTTGGTATGTTCTATTGTTTATCTTAACATATCCAGCTATCATTCGATTTCTTTTTTTATGTCATTGATATCACACGAAATCATAAGAGGTACTTCATCTGCTCAATTTCAATACCAAGTTTTCAATTGATTTTTCTGATAAATTCAAAAGGGGGATTAGATTCTTTTTTTTCAAAAAATTATGAAAGCGTAAAAATTGATATCCTCCGATATCTGATTACATTAGAAACTCCAATTTTCTCATTAACTGAATTATTCACTAAGTAGTCGATAAACTTAATAATGATCATGCCCAAAATGAGACTTTCCCAAAAGGAATTCGAGCTTTAACAAAATTCTAAGAAGAAACACTGATATCCATGACCACATCACAAGTAACTTTCGGTGTTCTACCCTTCAATATAAGGAAATGTTTGTGTACTCAAGATCCCATTGATGTTTTACACCGCAAAACCACATCCACTAATTTTCCTGGAACCCATAACAAAATAATATTTCCACTCCGAAGTGTTTCCCAGGAATCAAATCAGACGATCTTTTCAAGAAGTAATTTATGTTATGAATGGTTGAGAATATGCGTGTCACAGTGATCTACGTCATTGTGTGTATGGGGGCTAATTTAATTAATATACATGTTTGGTGGAAAATATTCAAGAGTTAGTTACATAAGGAGGAAAGAATTACAAAAATGATTTGGTCTCCTACAATTGTTATCGAAGTCGAGTAAAAGTTTCATAGTTGTCATTGTCTCATTCAGATATCAAATGAAATATTAAGCATGTTATGTGGTTCATAGGTAAAACATTCCAATTCACCCGAGGTAATTTATTGTTTCATGCGTTTAATGGTACAATAAACATTAAAGGCATAATTGAATTTAGGTTTGTATCATCAATTTTAGTAAAGAAATATGAAAGAAGTTTCAAAAACAAATTTTTTGATTAACAAAAGTGATTGCTGGTAAAAGCTAATTATTGTTATTCTTTCATTAACATATATATGATATTTTATTATGAAATATAATTAACCCCCTTCATAAAAATGCAAGCGTAAATTTGAGTAAGCACCCTTACACATTACAAATAAAAAGTGAAAAACTGAAATATTAGCTCTGAAAATGACTGTGTCAGTCAAATCCTATCGAATGAAATTTTAGTTAGTTCAAAAGGTGTTATTACGAAAAGAAATTTTTTATAACAACTTCAGTCCAATTGATAAGTTTTTGAGATACAGATTTAATAACTGAATTTGACAAATTTACAAGGTATTAAAAAAAACTTTGATCGTAAATGAAATATTAACGTTGATTTTCATCATTTTTAGAGTCAATTGAAAGTACGAAACGATGAAATGCTTCAGGCAATGAATACCATTAAAAAACAATGAGAGTTATTTTGTTATATGATTCTGTCTATATATACACTGTACAGGCATCTTACTCCCCTGCTCCTGTCTCTATTTCCACCTTAAACCGCAAAAACCATACTTTGAGTCAAAAAATCAAAACTCTGCTTTACTTTGCCAAGCTTTCGCTTCTAGTGGGAAGCTTCTTCAGGGCCTATAATTTATTGAGTTGTGGTTTTTTTGCCATTGAATAACATTACAAATCATACTTACAGTAAAAATGAGTAAAAACAAAGGATTGAACATATAAATTGATGAAGGAAGTTAAACATGTATATGATTTTTTTGGTTTGACAAATGTCATACCTTCACATAAATGTCATTTTTCAATGGGTATGATGATTTGATAATATAATCTTTGAATAAAGAGAGAGTGTTAGGAATCACACGTTAAAAAGTAAGACCTTGGTAGTCCTTAGCTCGCACAAGTTCTCAACTTTTGAGAGTTGTCGTTCGTATGGGGACGATAGCTGATTAACGGAAAACCAGATTTTAAACAGAACAGATTTGTTTACAAACTCTGTAATGGTGGTAAGCACCATTCATTTCAAAAAGGCGGTGAAGAACCTACTTGTTGATAGACCCTACTATGGTTTGGAAGAGTATTTTATTTATTTATTTATTTGTTTACAAACTCTACAGATCATGGCCCAGTTACATAGTAGGAAAGGTAAATATCACAAATAGATTTTATACATACAACAGAATGACAAAAAAGTTATATAAAAAAAATATTCAACAAGAGTTATACAATTTCATACAACCTATTTCTAAAACTAGTAAGATTTTGGAAAAAGATGTCATTTTGTACATTATTATTAGGCATTGCACATAGCATTTAATGGGGCATTTTGATATTAATTTGTTCTTGCGGATTCAATATAAAATGTGCGAAACGATCTAGTTTCATGAGCAGGTACATTGAAATTCATTTTTGATAGAAGACAGGGATCATTCACTTCACCATGTATCATCTTGTACAAGTATATTAAGTATGCAAATACTCTTCTTTTCTCAAGGGTTTGTATGTTCTACTTTTCAAATAGCACTACATTGGAAATATCAAGGTCATGTTACCTGTTTCTTTGAAGTGAAGATATCTCAGGAACTTGTTTTGAACTCTTTCAATGCTATACTTGTGACAATTACATTGAGGACACCAGATAATGGAAACATATTCCAAAATGCTTCAGATAAGAGTGATATACAATATTTGATGTAGGTAATATTGTTGAATTGTCTAGAGTTGCGAACTACAAACCAATTCATCTTTGAGGTCTTTTTTGTTATATTCAGTATATAAGATCTAAATGATAATTCAAAATCAAAAGTAACACCAAGGTCTGTTATTTCTTGAGTTGTGTTGAGTTTTACACCGTCCATCTCGTAGCTGTACGTTATACTGACTTTTTTCCGGGAGGTCATAGTATTACACTTTCGAACGTTGAATAACAATTTGTTCTTTTTTGACCATTCAACGATGTTATTTACATCGTTTTGTAGGTGTACACAATCTTCAACTGTTGAAATTCTTCTAAAAATTTTCAAGTCGTCATCTGCAAACAACAAGTAGCAAGATGATGTGATATTTTTTACAAGACAATGATAAATAAAATAAATAACAAAGGACCTAAGTTGGAACCCTGAGGAACTCCAGACGATGCAATAAATGGACTGGACTTATGCCATTTCACTATCACACTTTGTTTTCAATTAGATAGATATGAACTGAAAAATTTCATCAGGTTGGGATGAAAACCAAAGTCATATTCTAGGGTTCTTAGAAGAATTGGATGGGAGACTTTATCAAAAGCTTTTGCAAGTCGAATATCCATTTGAGCACGACTACCCAAGTTTTCAGCTATAAATTGGGTAACATTGCTAAGATTACTAACAGTGGATCTTTTTTTCATGAAACCATGTTGGAAACGTGATATTTTAGGAGAAACTAATCTATAGAAATGCTTGACAATGACAGTCTCGAAAAGTTTGGCTGGTGCCGATAACACTACCACCGGCCTGTAATATTCTTTCCAGATGTTAGGAAATGTTTTGCTTCTCAAGGAGAGGTTAGAGATAGTTTTCAATGGATATAACAAGAAGTCGACAAGATCTTTGAATATAAATGGTGGTATATTATCAGGCCCAATTGACTTTTTTATCTTCAAACACCTAGCTGCATCAATGATATCATCATGATCTATACAGTGTATAGATATCAATTCAAGACTGGTATTATCAGTAAATTCTGAACCATCAACACAGTCATTTGTATAAACTGAACTGAAGTGTTTTGCGAAGGCATTAGAAATATCAATGCCATTGGAATATTTAATATTGTTCAAGTGCATTTTACCTGGTATGCCTATGCTGCTTTTTTTACTGTTTACATACTGCCATAATGATCTAGAATCACTACTGATTTCTTGCTGAACCTTGCTTGGATATAATGTGTATTGATGTCAATTTTCAATTTCCTTCTCAAATAGCGAAATTTTTGTGCTAATTCATGGCTACTGTTTTGTCTACATTTTAACCTTAGTTTGTTTTTTACTTTGATATATTTTATTATTTGTCTGTTGAACCATGGGGGATACTTTTTATTTTTCTTGCATTTGGGAATACAAATATTGAAAATTTAATTAATTTCACTGTAGAAGAAACTCACCGCAAGATTAGGATCTGTAAACAATTCTAGACCACACCAGTCAACATTAACAAAGAGATGGTACATGAGCTCAGTATTCGCCCTTCTGAAGTTGAAATATTATAAATTATTAACAGATATCTCTTCAGTTTTTAAATACTCAAATACAGAGCGATGGATGATACCTAGCGTCCATCACAAAAGAAAGCAAATTTTTTGTTACTTTGCAACTTTTGCTCGAGATTACTAAGTCTAGTAAGTGTCCATGATCGTTTAATATTCTATTGTGCTGATTAGTATCCAGAAAGTTCAAGAAGTTCAGGAATATTTCTACATATGTGTCCCTCACCATGTTTGAGGAATATTGTGCAACTAAGATATGTTAAAATCGCCTATTACTTAAAAATTCTTATTATAGAGAACTGGTTTTCAAAAAAGCTAAGTAGATTTTCTTTGGATGAAATTGGGCAATTTGGTACAACATATACCACATATATAAATAAAATTAAAATCGTTTATATACACCTTTGCATAAATAATATCAATGTCAGGATCACTAAAATCTAAGTCAATGAGGTTGCTTTTATATAGGTCTCTTACAGTCAGAAGAACTCCTCCACCTTTGGTTTTCTCTACTTCAAGGGTGTCACGGTTCCTGTTCTTGTTAAACTTTGGAGTCATCGGGAAATATTTCAGAGTCATGGATGTCGTTATGTAGCCATGTTTCAGTAATGGTAATAGCATCATATTACATACTGAGATGTACAGAATTCAGGAACTCCGTCATTTTTGTGTTTAATCCCCTTATATTTTGATATGCTATGTTAAAAGCTATCGACTACTGGTATTGCAGTTTTTGTTGAAGGATCTTTCTCAAGCTTTCTTTCTTGACGCTTTGAGCCATTTATTAAAAAGTCCCCCCGTGCTGCTGGAGAACCTCTCTGTGTTTTTAAAAATCAAACGGTTTTATGCCAACGTTCCTCGGCCAGAATTCAGGTTTATATATTTCATCTTTTTTTGACAAAGGTGCGGTTACTACAAACCTTTTTAGTTGATTTGGCTGGCTTGGAAGCTTCTTTGCTGATTATGTGTGTTCATCAAGATTAGGTTTTTCTTTCAAATAATTAATGATATCTTCTTTCGCGGACCTTTCAATTTTCTTTTCAAATTCTTTAGTTTTAATATCTTTCTGGAATATTTTGATATTTTGTACAGACCTATTTTGTTAAAATGTACTCCCGAAGAACAGTATTCAGTGAGTAGCCCTGTAATTGATCTAAACAGATACCTGCATTTTTGAAGTAGTTCTTCAGTTCTATTCTCGGATGGTCCCGTTATAGAGGTTTTCCTAGAGTTTATCGGGTAGGATTTCCTAGTTCACTTTGCCCTACAACAATTATCCGATTTTCTAAACCTTCAATTATATTAGTATCTAGTATCTAGGATCTACGCGTTTTTGTAACTAACTGCCTCAGTTTTTCCACATGGCGATGCATTCAAGTACGTTCAAGTACGTTCAAGTAATCAGATACAACTAACTCTAATTACTAGAGTGATGTAAATTAATGTTTAGTCAAGGGTACATGTGGATTGCGTGCAAGGGCTGGGTGCAAACTCTATATTTCGATGTTTACGTAAAATAGTTTTTGAACGTTTTCTTACGAGACCAGTGGTCTGGTGGCATAGCCAGCTCTAACACATGATCTACGATATCGAATTGTTAGGAAATGCTGATGGTTCACTCAGAACAACTTCTTTGTGTAATTGGTGACTTGTTTATTTTGTGGAAATTCATGATGACTTTAATGAAATGAATGAAAACACAAAAGTATTTCCATTCATTTCATTGAACATAGTGTAAGGAAAGTTTTATAAAATCGTCTGAATGATTGTAAGGCAATTAGCATATTTCTTTTAGAAAAAAGCGTTTTGGTTTTCTGCTTCTCCTTCTTCATACAAAAATATGTGAGAAACTGTCGATGAAAGAACATGAAGTATATACAGATCTGGCATATGAATGCTGATGAGATATTGAAAACAAGTGTTTCAAATACGAAACTTCGAGAAGTATAACTCATGAGTACTAAATTTCCATGCAAAATTTATATCAGTTCTCTTCACGTTTTCTAGTTTTCCTGTGAATTATAACTGTTTCAATTCCATAACGAATGTTTGTAGTACAGGCTTAATAGCCGTGTAATTCAATGCTCATATGAAAATAGTTGTTTCGGAAGGACTCTTTCTTTCGTGAGATTTAATGTTCATGTGAAAGTGGTAGTTGTTTCGAAAAATGTTTCTTTCCAGTATGTATCTGAAAGAAACTTCTGTGCTTATTGTACACATATTTGTTGAAAAGTTTATTTTGAAAATAATTGATGTCTTTCATTTTTCGAAAGTTTACTACTTATTTTTGTTTAATGATGTAAAAGTAGATAGCCAAAATGTTTTTCTCAACAAATACCTTCCCTTTCAATTTGAAATTTTTTTTGTCTTTCTGAATGATAGAAACGAAAGTAGATGTATTATTAGTTTGAATAAAATGACCAACTGTTCCATTCTCATTTAAACTCATTTCATTTTGTATCACACTGTATGTATTTATATTGACACGAGTAACTTCGAGTATCGGACGTGTGTGTGTGTGTGTGTGTGGTACCACGAAACGAGGGACTTACCACCTCTCTGTCAGTGTCTAAAAATCTGTCGGTGCAACTATATAGCTCAACACACCAAGATATGTCGTGAAAGTACAATAGAGTGATATTATTTCTAATTCATAAAGTATCAGGAACCTTATAATATACAGTCTTCTAATATTGAAAAACCCGACCTACCAACATAGAATTTCTCGATAAGGATTTACTGAGGTAATAGAGGAACAAAAGACCTTGTTAGTTTTCTTATTAGTCAGTGGGCTATGCTTGAAGACTGGCAGTCAACAAATCTGAAGCAAATGAACTTTAAACGTTCAAGCCAGTCTCTATATACCTACACAGTAGGTTTAATGGACTGACGCCTATCAGAAAACAACTACTCCCCTGGCTAATACCACGAAGGGCGTTGGATTATATC